AATATATTTTGGCATACAATATATTTAGGAAATTAGTCTACAGATTTATTAAAAACTTCCGACAAAACCTACTGCAGCAATGCTCTCGATCCAAATCTATTTAAAATAATTTAAAACTATCAACAGCTCTACGATTTTGTTCTCAGAGATCGTACCAACTGGGTATTGGTATTTTCTTTCATAAGTGAAACCAGCTTGTCTCCAGTATTCACGACGTTAGACCTGTATGAAATTAATAAAAAATTGTTTAAAATTAGTGTCTAGCCGCCAAAAAGTAAGAAAACAAACGCAAAATCATGAATTTTTCACAATTTCCTAACACTTCGCTACAGCATCGAAAGCAAAAATCTGTTCGACAGAAATTCGATACTCAACGAAAATTTCGATGCGGTTGCATAGCTCATAATACGAATTTCACATTCAATCTTCGATAACCAGCGAAGATCGAAAATCGAATGCAACTTATAATAAGGGCCATTATTATTCAAAGCCTGACAGACAGCATATTTAGCAGCACATGAAGACCTATTCTGGGCACGAATCGTAACATCCGTTCACGGATCGAAAACCATACGAAAGATAATTACGTGATACGTCAGTCGTATAAGCTGAATGGGATAAATAGTACGTTCACCTATGTCATAATCCGAAAAATGTGTGTTTCACGTGATGAGTAATACGATATCGTATGTGACGATTCGAGCCCTGATCTAAATCAATCGTATATACTTTTTTTAATTCCTTTTGACAAAACATTTTCACGTATCAAACGACAAATTCCATTGAATTTGGCATAGTGAAAACAAGCCTTTATTAATTTCGATTCAAATGTCCTTTTACTATGACTTATCGGATCTAAACAATTATCGAAATCGGTTCACGTGATCAAAAGTTATGCGGTAACATACGAAAAAAAATTAAAAACAACATTCCGGCGAATTGATAACCTCCTCCATTTTTTGAAGTCGATTAAAAAGATATTTTCTTTTGCTTTTAAAATTACGCTATACTTACGAGACCCCCCCTTCCCCCCTTCCTCCCCCGAGAGTTTAAGATACATTTTCTTAGTTTCAATATATTTACCTTTAATTAAATGTACTGCATAAACGCTAAACTTACAATATTTTTTTTTTTGTAAATGAAACTTTTTTTTTAATTTTAATAAATCAGTTATACGTACAGACTTTAAAGAATATGTATTTGCACTGCCATCTTACATTCGAGAAAGTAAGATACGAAAAGAACCACTTACAATACTATATTTGTATTCGCACTACAACTTTTTGTTGTTTAAAATTTAACATAAATAATTTTAATGTTTAATAAAATGTATGTATGTTTATTATTCGTAATGTACGTATGTACGCAAATATGAATTGCTGTATATGTGTGTAAATGTACTACCACTATGCAGATATAAATTAAATTGATATTTGCAAACATACATACGCAACTACATACATATGTACACATGTGAAAGCATGAAATATGTATATAAATCATTTTCAATGAGTTTAATGAAACACTACAACTGACACTGGTCTTGCGTTTGTTACAAAGATTTTACAAGATTATATAAATACTTATTTGTATAGTGTATGTATGTATATATATACTTAACTATAGTCTTATGTGCTAAATTATTTACAATGTCTATACATCTATACACTTTTAAGCGCCACTACGCCGGAAATACACACGACCTAGTTACTATTTTAACTTTTTTTAAGTAATTGAAAATTACTCATAATTCATAAATTTGTAAATAAAACACACACAAAAATTCGGAGTGGGAAACAGAAATTAAATATTTTAATAAAATAAAAAAATAGAAGCAATCACAACATAAATGTATTTGTGTTTGGATAAAAGTTTTCAATACAGCCTAAGCTCGAATTTAATTAAATTCATCATTTTTTATAATTGTAATCATAAGTTGAGCCATCGATTTGCACCGCATAGTATACAAAGTTAGTTTTAAAGTTTAAACGATATACTGAAGCAGTTCTTTCTAGGTTAGGTATGGGGAAGCATGACTTTTTCGAAAATTTGAGACAGAAATTCTTATATAGACAAATCTAAAAGCAAAGAATATATCCTTTGCAATTACCTGTCAGAATGGAACAATCCATTGCATTAGAAGCGTTACCATTCGACCAGTTCTCAATGAATCTAACAGAAAATAAACAGAAAAAATTTTAATTTACTTTAAATGAAAAAGGGGAAAAAGAGCAACGATAATTTACAAGGCGAGCTTAGCACAGTGCACAGGCAACTGGCTGAGTCAGTGGGATCGTCGGTTCGAAGCCTACTGAAAGAAGTCTGATGGAGGAAATGTGGTGATTTCCGAAATAGCTATCACTTCTACCATTTTTTCTAATTATTGTTGCTTTTCCACATTAAACTTTCATTAAAAAACGGTCTCGAGCTCAATAAAAATTGTTGAATATAATTTACTTTAAAGATATTTTTAGCCTTATTCCCAGTTTCACCCGTAAACAAATTCACCCGAAATCTTTTCATCCGCCCGTTGTGTACATAAGCGAAGAGTAAAAAGTGAACGATTTCGGTCGAAAATGAGAGTCATGAAAATGCTGACTGTCTTAAAATGTCAGAGCCGATCGTAATACGTGGGAAAAAAATTTAAGGTATTTTTACAAATCTCTAAACCGATGTTTCATATACTACATAGTACAGATTTCATATCATATAGTTTACTTTATTTGATATTATTATGTTTCTGATTATACTTATGTTTTTTGTTTTTTTATTATTTTCTTTTTTCTATTTGTAATTTTTATTTGATTTTTCATTTGATTTTGTTCCAATTTATTTTATTTTATGTTGTATTGTTTTATTTTTAATTTCCAATTGAATTTTAGTTAGTTCTATTTTTGTATTTAATTCTATTTTATATACTTAATTTGGTTTTATTTTACCTTTTTTTATTATTTCAAAATTTTATTTTTAAAATACGTAATTTTATTATACATTTCATTTGGTTTTATTTTGTTGTATTTCTTTTTAATTACTTTATTTATTTATTTTTGAATGTTTTTATTTTTATTTATTTTTAATTCTTATTTTATTTATTTTTTATCATTTTATATCGTTTATATTGTTATTAAATTTTTTTATTATGTTATTTTATTTTGTTTTAATTTTTTTGTTTAATCTCAATGATTTTTTTTAGTTTGTCATTTATTTTATTTCATTTTATGTATGTGTTTCTTTAATTTTTGTATTTTATTTTTGTATCTTTTAATTATAGTTTATTATATTTTTTAACTTTTTTATTTTATTTTATTTTACTTTTTTATATTCATTTATTTTATTTTTTATATTTACTTATTTTATTTTAGTATTAATATTATTTTGTTTTATTTTTTTTTTTGTTTTATCTTATTTATTTTACATTACTTTAGTTTATATCATTTTATTTTATTTCGTTGTATGTATTTCTTTTATTTTTTTTTTTAATAGTACACAGTTTTTATAGTTTATTATTTTATTTTTTGTTATTTAGTTTTTTATCTATTTTATTTGTTTTATTTAATTTCAGATTATTTCATTTTGCCTGATTTTATTAGTTCATTTTATTTCTTTTAATTTTACTTTTTTATTTTTCCATTCTGTCCTTTTTATATTCATTTATTTTTTGCCTTGATGTTTCATTTTTATTTCATTTCTTTTATTTTTAATATTTCTCTTTTTTTCATATTTTAGAATTTTTATTATGTTATATCAGTTTAATTTTGGTAAGTATTATTTTTTTATTTCTTTACTATTTTATCTTATTTATTTTTTACTATTTTATTATTTTATTTTATTCTTATTTTATTTATTAATTAATTTATGTATTTATTTATTTACATATTAATTATTATTTTTTATTTTATTTATTTATTTTATTTGTTATATATTTTACTTTATTTTTTTTATTTCATTTTGTTTTACTTTAACTCTGTTGCTTTCTAATAGATTTTACATATATTATTTGAATTTAAATTCAAATGCCTTATACATAGCAGCTACCTACTAAATGTATCTTAAAGGTCGTTGAAAAATATGTTTAAACCATTTTTTTTTTTTAGTTTCACATTTGTCAAAAAAGTTGTAGCTAATATTGTGTATATTTGGATTGCTCGTTTTTAGATATTTTTTTTTCTAAAAATGCATCTAGATTAAAGACATTGCCACAGTATATTTTAAATTATGTATTTAATTTTTTGCTTATATTACATTACACTCATTCAAGAATGATTCTGACTTTTTTATTTTTTATTTTTATTTTCGAAGGTATGAAATTTTACTACAATAACTTATCTATCCACTTATTAATTAACAATAACTTAATTAATTAATTAATAGATATGCTTTTTTATATTTCATAAAATATGTATGTATGTATATACATATATTTTTTTAATTCTACTGCTAGCGAAATTTGTAATACTTCATTTTCGCTACTGATTTTTACTTGAATTGAATCTACTTTACCTACTTCGTTACAAATACACCATTAAACTTTATTTCCACAAACAGACTGCTGGGGAACAATATTTTGAAAAAATTCTATTATTTACCACACTTTTGATACAAAAATTGAGATTCAGAAACTGAATTCGAATTATTTAAAGTTAAATTTTTTTTTCAGTTAATGAGCGCTTTGGAGTTGCTCATCCTAAACCTATTAAGCCGCCGCTTATTACTATGTATATACGAAAATCTTGTTTGCTAAAAATTTCTGTTGTATTATTATAGGTAAAACATTTGCAAAACATTAAACTATTTACAATTAATTTTGAGATTTTTTAAGTTTTACTTTGATGACTTCCCAACTGATTTCACGATCTGATCTGCGGTTTAACTTCTGTGAAGTATTCGAGCTATAAATTTTTGATGAAAAACATTTTTACAAATTAAGCGGTCAGCATCCGCAACTCTCACTGCGCCCTGCGACAGCCCCCGCAGCTTCTCAGCTCCCAGCGCCGCCGCTTTCAGTTGAGATACACTTCCTCCACTTGATCGCCATCGCATTCTTGCTGCTCCTGCACCTCTTGCAATTGCTGCAAGTGATGCTCTTCCACCTCCTCTTCGTCGTCATACTCAAGCATCTCTTCTTCATTTGTCTGCTGCTGTGTCTGCGCGCTGCCACCGTGATGCTCAATGACAATTTGCTGATGTTGTTGTTGCTGTTGCTGATATTCATCCTGATCTTCTAAATCTAAAGGATCCAGCACCGTCGTTGCTGTCTGCTGCTGCTGCAATTGCCGATGCGTTAACAACTGATGGTGCTGATGTGTTTGCTGTTCAACTATTTCGTGCTGCTGCTGGTGATGATGCAAATCGCTATGCGCCGTCGTCGTGAATACCAGCGGCGGCGGCGAACTGCTGCTCACATGATGGTGATGCTGTTGTTGCTGTTGGTCTGTCGTCTCAGTGGCAATACTATGATTACGTACAATATGACCGGCGGTCGATTTACCAGAACGCGTCAGCGTCACCGTCACCTCAGAACCGAGGCCAGCAAACGAGACGGGTGTGGCGGTGCTGACGTTCGCGTGCGTCGCTGCCGCCGCTCTGGCATGGAGGATTTTGCGCGTTGTTGTTGTAGTGCCAGCACCACCGCTCGTCGCGACTGTGCTGATCGTGTGCGTCTGGGTGTTGGGTGATGTAGCAGCCGATGCGCTAGGCGACACATAGTTGATAAGCAACACTCGCTCACCGGTGGTTGTTTGTGCTGCATGGCCACGCAGTATGCGTGTGCGATGTGTACCGCTGCTGGTGGCGATCGGTTGGGCACCAGTGGCAGCTGCAGCTATGGCGGCCAAGCCGCTCGAGCCGCTGCTCTGCTGTTGTTGGTGGTGGTGCTGCTGAGCACGGCTGAGACGTGTAGCGCTTACCACACTGCCGCTAATGTTGTTGCTCCCCCCGCTGCCGCCGCCGCCACTACCACTGCTCCCGCCTATGACGCCTACCCCGCCACCTCCTCCTCCTCCACTACCGCTGATCATATCGTTGGCTCATCATTACGTATTATTACCGCCTTTCAAAATGAAAACTTTCTTTACCAAAATGTTCTTATTATTACCCTAGATTATTTTTATTGAATTGATTGTTGTTGGTTGGTTGGTTGATTTATCGATTGGTTGTTAGATGTTGTTGAATGCAAACATGTATTTTAATTTTTTTTGTGTTAAATTTGGTGAGTTACGTAGCAGCCATAGTAAAAAATGAAAAAAGAGAAGACAAGAAAATTGCAGAGTTAATGAGATTTGTTATATTCTGATGAGAAATAAATATGCTATAATTAGTCACTTGTGCGTTTAATAAAAAAAAGGTAACAGTTTTTAATATTTTTTTTTTAACGAAGCAACAATTTTATATCTTTTTTTATACGTTTTAAAATATATCAGTAGGTTAGACACAACGTCGATAGATGGATGGTCAGTGAGGCATGTACTGTGTATGTTTGTATATGACCATGGTTTCTGTAATGTCGAAATGCTCCTAAGCCAAACCAAAATGAAACGTACAAGAAAAGTAAATCTAGGGCTAAGGACATAATCTTCAAGAAATGTGCCGCTAGGAATTAATCTAAGACTTTTGTATGTACACGAATGTTAATGGAATGTACCACTAATATCTAGTTAAATTTTTTTTACCGCTAAAGAAATGGGCTCACTTCATGCGCCAATAAATTGGAGGTTAGAATAACCTGCACACAATATTAATTAATTGACATGCTTTGTATATTACCTGAACCAATTAAAATGTTTGTATTACGTCAATGGGGTGATTTCGTTTAATTACGAAAAAATGTGTTTTTGAGGTTAGAATGGCCTTGAAAATTTAACCCGGAGGCTTAAAAATTACCAGAGTTAATAAAAATTTCCATAAAGGAATTATGTATTTCAAATCGAGGTTAGAACAATGTTTTCGGTTAAATTTATCGTGAAGTAGCAAAAAGCTCCTGCCTGAAAAAATGTAATTATTTGGTTTGGTTTTTATCTCAAATATTTTTTTGTTAAAATAAACACCTTTTGGGAAAGTTTATCGTGAATACTAACGGAATTCTGGCTGGAAATGTTCAATATTTCAAATAACGAAGCCAACGATTGGCACTTCCAAAAGCCCGTTCCCACGGCGTTCGGGTCTACGTAATCGCAACGACCCGGATTAATACCTGCCTAATGGCTGTCACTCCAGCATCATTCCCCAAAGCTCGTTGGAGAATTTTTATCCTGTTACAACAATTCTCAAAATCAAAAGCCTTCAAAAGTTCATTTATCAATTTTGAAACTAAAAATGTATCGATTGGATCAAGGCGACTACTTGAGGTTATATGACACTTTAACATCAACACCCATTCGAATCAGAACTGAGAAGACTTATCACATAACTCGTAGTCGAGGCACTTTCTTGCTCAAGCAACGCTTTTCAGAGCAAAGTTTATAGCATACTTCAAGGCTATCAAAAAGGATTTAGTTAGCTTCGGGGACTTACTAACAAATAATAAAGTACTATTTAGTTTCTTACCATAAATTTCACAGTGAACATAAGCAGAACGATCTACAATTATGTCTGGCGATCTACAGTTAGATCTGGTCAAGGACAGCTACGCGAGCCGTATTCCCCATAGCTTGTTTGAGAAATGTCTATGCTGTTTCAACCAAAATAACATACCTAAATGACTACATACGAAAAGTGATACAAACGAGCTGTCCCCCCAAAAGGGAATCTTTCGAACGGTTTCTGGATTTTTTGAGCATAAATGTAATGTGTTCGCATTCTAGAAAACACCAGTCCTGCCGCAGTAATGGAACATTCCTTTCGTGACGCCAGAGCCGAAGAACATAGCAGCATATCAACGCAACAAACTTCAACTCGAATATGAAATTTATATGCTGTTATTAACTAATTTCGTCGATGTTTTTGCAAAACCGCCCATCGTCCAATTGCAAAACCGCCTATCTTACGGCACTCAAATTTTACAAGAGAGCGAAACAACGGTTTATTCTTTGAAGGCATTCCGCCCTATGTTGAATATCGTAATCGTCAGTAAAAGCGACGATACGGCCATCGTCAGCCATGTTACTGATGCGCTGACGATCGTCGGCGATGACGATGACGATATTCAGCATAGGGCCTATTGCCTTGATAGGCGGTATTTTCTCTAGCTATTCATTTACAAATCTGTTTTTTAATAACGATTTAATGATTTTTATGCATAAATCTCGATGCCTGGAGTTCAGGGTTACCAAATCTCATTTTCGCCACAACGGCGATTTAGGCGGTTTTGCAACTGGCCGATGGGCGGTTTTGCAAAAACATCGACGATATATTTTTAAATATTGTCTTCGTGTTTTTCATGATCTTTCTTTTGCTTTTTATGGACACAAATCTTGCAGAGGTTGCGGGTTTCTTTCATTGCTTAACTTTTTAGAACCAAGATGCATTGCCACAACTCATTTACACAACTTTTATAATGGCGCCCTTAGCCGTTCCAAAGACTGTTTATACAGCATGTTGCGTATTATTAGCAAGCGTGCAGATGGTACATTTGAATGCGCAAAGTTTGTTGAAAAAACACGTCGAATTTAGATATCTCTTCGAAAATTCAGATATTCATGTTGTGTGCAAATCCGAAACGTGGTTTTCCTCGCACCACAACAATAATATCCTACATGTAGATAAATGGTTATCAACTTTTTAGAGCTGATAGACATGGTCATGGTGGAGGTGTAGCAATATATGTAAAAAATTGTATGTCTTGTTAACTAAATTGTTTATCGTCTTATGGTGCTTTGGTCGAATATGTGTTCGTTGACGTATGTTCAACCAATAAAAAGATTCTTGTCGGTTGTGTTTATAGGCCTAACCGCAGTGTCAACTTTACGAACTTTTCGGATTTCTTGGAACCGCTACTCGTAAACTATAATGACACTTTAATTGCAGCAGACTTCAATAGCAACTTGCTCATGGATAGCAGTATAATCTTGAGTATGGAGTCGTTGGGGCTCTTCCCGACAAATACTTCCATGCCAATGCATTTCACCTCTACTAACAGCACACTTTTACATATATTCTTTGTAAGCGATCTGCGCAAATCCCTTTATTACAATCAACTATCTGCACCAACATTTTCAAAACATGATTTAATCAGCCTCATTGTGTAAGTCGCAAATTAGGCTAAATTGTACGACTCGACAACATTGGCATTGTCTACTGTCGTGCTGAAATAAATAAACGACGAAAATTGTCGAAAATTGTACAGTGCTGTCAAGTTTTTCCGTTTTAATACACTAGTCGAGTGGAAATTTTAGGCAATGACGTGAAATTTTTGATACGATTCGACTCTCGAAAATCGACTTGCATTCGACACGACTCCCGCAATGAGGGTGAATATTTCTGATATTTGACTTCCAAATATCCGAATCGCCAACTTCTTTCTCATATCACGACTTTAAAAACATTGACTCTGTCTCTCTCGCAGCTCCGGTCGATTCGGTTGACTGGGGACTTATTCAGAACTTGCAATCCATCGATGAAAGGACGTGTTTCTTGCAATATAAATATGCTTTTCGTCAACTTCATTCCCGTCAAGTTGCAAGTATTAAAAAACGAAAGCAAACCCTGGTTTAATTCTGCGACAAAAAAAAAACCTCATCGCCACTCGTAATCACGCTTACTCGCGATGGAAACGGTACAGATCTTCGGAAACCATAAGTAGTTTTAAAAGAACCCGTGTTACAGCTAACAAAGCCGTAAAGTCGGCTAAGTCAATGTTTTATAAAGAAAAATTCGGTATTGCAGTGAACTCCAGGCAAACCTGGAACACCATTAAGAATATTGGAGTGGGAAAATCCGTTGAAAATGCTCCCTCTACTTCCTTCTAAGTCCTTTGTAAGACAAACTGTGTCTGGTGATAATATATGTTATGAGTACTACCGTGATTGTGTAAATGTTAATGCTAGTCGTTTTGTTTTTTTCGGTGTCGATGATTGGGACGTTGTCCAAGCCACCCTCTTCATTAAGTCAAAAGCAGCTGGACTTGATGGAATTAGCTCAATCTTTCTTAAGATTATTCTACCAAAGGTTCTGCCACATTTGACTTTCCTAATGTATTCTATTTGGTGAACTTGCGTTTTTCCGAAATGCTGGAAAGTCGCTAAGGTTATACCTATTCGTAAGACAAATAATGAGTTCCGACTTATATCTGTTTTACCTTTCTTGTCAAAAGTATTCGAGCGTATCCTGCACAAATCTCTTGACTGACCGTCAATCGGGCTTCAGAGCTAGTAGAAGCGCCACCACGGCTCTTTTGGATGCAATGGAGAGCATCAGATCGCAAATTGATGCCAACAACATCAGTTTTCTGACACTTCTCGACCACTAGAAAGCTTTTGACACTGTGGAACCTAAACTTCTAAGCCTTAAGTTGAGAAACTTATTAAATTTCTCATGTCACGCAACTGCTCTGATCAGGTCTTACTTTGGCGACAGAACTCAAGCTGTGAGTATTGGCGGCATAACGTCTGATTCCCTGGCCGTAGCTAAAGGAGTACAGCAAGGGTCAAGTGACCTAAATTCTGGCTTGTCTCCTGTAGCTAATTGGGCCTCAATCAATGGCGTATGCCTTAATCCGGGGAAATCTAAATCTGAATAAATAATTAAATAAATCTGATATAGAATATGTTGGCAGGGCTAAAAATCTTGGCGTCATTTTTAACAACAAATTGACATGGAACACTGATTTTGGTGCGGCAAATGTTAAATCTGTTTTTGATAGACTTTTTTGAGCTGATTACGAATCCGTAAGTACAAAGGATCCAACACGTACAGGTTTTGAGAAAATCGAGGTCAAAGTGTCAAAAAATCGGGCTTTTGCAATATTTGAGAAGCTCTAACAAAGAGTAAAAAGCTGATAGAACCTTCCACTTAGGCTTAGATTAAAGCAAGAACCCTCGACTACTATCCTTGAAAATACCATTCCTGCACATTGAATTTATGG